ACAAAGCCTGCCTTACTAAAAGTCTTGGCTTTCCGTTCCAAAATATACCGGGATGAAAAAGTGTTGTTTATTCTGTTTGGCGTGTCTCCGGTTTGCACCGCGTTCAATTTCGTGCCAGAGTCCCCAGCCTGTCCCACTGTGCTTTGTGACCTGAACCCGCCGGTCTAATCACAGAGGACTGCCCGGACGGTCGGCAGACAGGCGGACAGCCCGGCTGGCAGGCAGCTGCAGAGTGATGACGTACGGTTTCAGGTGAGTAACTGGCTCGCCAAATAACCAGAACGATATGCGCTTGCGCGCAGTTTCGAGATCAAGCTGACACGTGATCTTGCAGAGTACGGCCCTCAAGCCAGCCAAAATTGTGATACTTTTCGGCGCTTTGTTGGACATACTATACATCTTGTCCAGCGGATGGGTCCTGGAGCGGAGCTGTTGCCGATATTATTTTTGATTTAACGACGTGTCCTTGACTTCCACAGCAATAAATAAACAAAGACAATGCTTGGCGCGGCTTGGCGCATGCGATACCGATATATTTCTCGCTTCTTCTGCCTGCATCGTGCCGCCCCGGGGGTGACGAAAAAGTGGGTCAGCCTCAACGGGTATCGAACCCACGCCTGCTCTCCTCGGGGCTCGGGGCGATAGCAGCAAGCTCTCTGCGCTACCATGCTAAACAGCTGCCGCCGGGACCACCAAGTCAGTTGGGTCTCAGAAAGCGACGGTCGGCCAACACCGGAGCGCGTAGCTGAGGGAGCTCCGCTCGGTTGGCAAGACAACTCATTTATTTTTGCGTGTGATCCATTATTGCGTTGCCTCGTTTCCGTCCCTGGCTGGAGGCAGGCTGGAGGCAGGCTGGCTGCCTGGAGGAGATGAAAGATGCATCTCAGCCTGACAACGAGCAGGCCCTCGACACGAAACAAAAAAGGAGGCAGGGGAAAAAAGGGCCGCTGCTGATGAGATCAACTTTTTCAATCTCATTATCTGACAATATCCACCCTCCGAGGTGAACCTCAGCCAGGCCGGGCCTCACCGCCCCGGCAGGCCGACGGACCGGCAGGCAAGCCGGCAGGCCGTCAGGACGGCGTCCTCTTTGCTGGTTTCGGGTTCCTTTTGACATCAAATGCCAAAGCCACCATTAGCGCCTCCTTTTTTTCAAAGTGCGCACCCTTCCGGCACGCGCGGCCGCGCCTCCTGAGGAAGACTGGCGGCCCTCGTGGCCCTCGCGGCGAGACACTGGCTGCAGGTGGCGAGCCCCCCCCCCCCCCCCCGGACGTTCCCGAAAAAGCTCCTTCTTCGCGCTCTTCGAGGCGCAACGCCCCGAAAAGACGTAAAATCTGCGGCTTTTGTGTTTCCAGCGCGTTACCCGGTGTGGCCGCCGGTTCGCGCCACGCGTTTACAGTGCTGTAGCCCCTGTCAAGTCTCGGATAGGCACCCCGCCACGCGCCGATGCGCCTCGCCGAAAATGTTGCCTACCCTGAAAGGGGCTCGAGAGCTTGCCTGGTCGTGCCTCGCGGCATTGGCATTGCGTTTCGGTCAGCGCAAAGTGCCTGCGGGGACGCATGGCAACGCGTGTCACGGACTGGAGTACATGTGTCTTCTTCCTCTTCTTCTTCTTCTTCTTCTTCTTCTTCTTCAGCTCGCCAGTTACCCCCTGTAGCCCGGGCGTGGTTTCTTCTCTTTGTTTTGTGTCGGTAGCGCGTCGGCCGCTCTCTCTCTCTCTCTCTCTCTCTGTGCCTCCCCCACCCCACCCCCTTTTGCCCTGACGTCTCTACGTGACCTGCTTGCCTACTGATAGCCCTGATGCAGTCAAACACCACCAGCCTGGCCTGCCCCGCCCCCAGCAACTACGCCATGCGGGGGAAGGAATGTTTCCTCTCAAACCAGGAATTTTCGTCGCGGTTTTCAAAACGGTGGATCGTTGTTTCCGTTTAGTGTCTCTGTGTGTGTGTCCTCATCCCACTCCCGCACGTAAGTATTCTTATGCTGTGTCAAAAAAGTGTTTATAGGGAAACAGGATCAACAGGAAATAGGAAACAAACTTGTTCAATATGATAATTTATTATTAAATAATAATCATCACCAACAATAAGTCAGAACATCGGCTCGGTCTGTTCATAAGGCCATAGACGCGAACAAAGTATTTTTATTTTAGTGGAAAATTTACACTGTGGATTGATGATAGCTAGTACTTTGACATACAAGTCTTCACTAATAATAAAATAACAAAATCGCCCCAATCTCTCATCCGAATCACACATTTTGGTTAGAACCACCTGCCGTTCTAGAATCGTCCCTAAGCACATTTTTTTCTCTCTAGACTTGTTCACCTCCTCAAGTAGGTACTGACGTGGCTTTGCCAGAATCAGCGGTCCCAGAAACATCCCCGAAGAGGAGTGGCTTGAACGTTTGCGAGTGAAAGTCTCTCTTCTTTGGGGCGGACCCCACACAGCCACTCACACCGACTCAGCGCCCTCACGTGACACACGCCAATTGTTTTTTCTTTCGCTCACGTCGAGCAAGACAAAAGGGAAGCGAATCATTTCTCCTCGGAGAAAGTGGAAAGACGAAAAATCAAGGCGGCCGTGCGCCGGTCAGTCTGCCTGTCTATCTGTCTGTCTGTCCGTCCGCTCGGAAACACTCAGTCGAAGCTCCACCGCGAGGATCCGACAAAAGATCAACAATTTGATCTAGACGGCCCGCCGCGCCTCGCAGTCGAGTCGGACAGAGACGCAATCACTCAGCTCGGCAGGTCGCGCCGCGTGGCGCCGCGTCGCTCGTCCCGAAGTGTGCCATCCTGCTGGTCGGTCGCAATCCGGTCGGATCCGTGGCACACCGCAGCGCCAGCCCTCCTGGAACCTGGAACACGCCCAAGGCACCTCTAGCTGACTGCCAATAACAAAACTGTTCACCAACAATAAAATTTGTCTTTCCAAGTTTAGAATTTTTAAACGTTTCAAGGTGTTTTGTTCCTAAATTTGTAAATCTTTTAAATTTTCTAAATTTGTACCTGGCGTGGCTGCTCAGCGCTTGAGCTGGTGCAGAAGCAGCAGCGCGGCGGCCATCGTCTTCCACCAGCTGGACGCTTGGCACAGCGGGGTCGCTCCGGCTGTAATCAAATTAAAATAGTTTGAAAACAAAGCAAGTAAAAACGAAATTGTTTTATCGGGGAACGAGTAGGTGGCAACGGGGTCGGCAACGAGGCGGCGGTGGCCGGCGGGCGAACTTCCACACAAGTCGTTTCGTTTTATCTGGACGGCAGTGGGATTTCTCCTCCTCGATGCCTTCCTCCTCCTCCGCCGCCGCCGCCTCACAGACTGTCTCGCTCGCACTCGCAGGGTCGGGGCGCCCCGCCGTGGGAGTGAGAGAGACGGAGAGAGTGCGGTTGCGATAAGTTTAGCCGGAAGCTGGACCGTATGCTCACCACTGAGGAACCCCATGCTGCCTGCAACACACAAACAGAACGCCCGGATTAGGTAAGGAAAGCAAAAGATGAATCAAACAACTTTGCACTGGGGAAGAAAAAAAATCAAAACGGTACACAGGAAAATGGGGCCGCCGAAACAAGCCAATATTGACGGAACGGGCAGAGAGGGATTACGACTGCACTGTTTGAGCGAATTAAAAACGGAAACGACGAGGCCTGTACCGGAAGTGGAGCGCGCAACAGGTGGCGCCGCGGATGATTGGCCACCGGTGACGTCATCATCGCCATGCGTCATCCCCCTGATCTGGTCCGAGGGCCTCCGGGCAGGGCCGCCAGGCCGCTGTCTCTCTCAAGGGCCAAATCCGCTTCGGCCCTTTCAAAAGTTGCAGGCCGGCTGCAGCGTGCCTGGATGTCAGCGGCTCGGCCAGGCCCGGCCCGGCCCGGCCAGGGGCTTCGGGATTAAACTTCATCCCCTGCGACCTGGGTGCTGCCCACGCCGCTCCGTCAAAGTTGGCCGTGCAAAATTTTGAAAGTTTCCCAAGTGACGATCGTCGGCACGAAGCTACGCCAAGCTGCGCGCCAAGCTCCGCGAAGCTCAGACAGGGCGTAATAGGGGCTAAGCCCTGATGCCCTGCTGTGGCCCCGCACTCGCCCAAATTAAATGACCGGGAAACGACGCAGGCAACTGCCGAAAAGCAAGGGGAAACTTTCATTTCAGACGCGCGGCCGCGGCGCCGGGACAGAGTTGCGCAACTTCCAATTTTATTACAGTTTTTCCGTATTAAGAGATCTAACAGATTTAATTTTTCAAATGTAATCTTTTTTTAATTTTTTTTTTAAATGTTGTTTAAAATGTTAATGTTTTCAGATGTAAATATTTTTGTATTGTTAAAAGGTTTAAAAAAAAATTGTGCGATTTTTTTTTGTGTCGGTGCAAAGGCAGTGTCGGGCTGCGCACGTGACGGGACACTGTGGGGCCAACTTCCAGTGGGGGGGACTCGCCCCGCCTCGCCCCGCCTCGCCGCGACTCCGCGACCGCCGCCTTGTTTCCCAAAGCAGCGACACAAATTGACGCTGCGGCTGCCGAATCACTGGGCGGAACAAAACGGGCTCTTTTCAGAGTCAGAATGCTACTTTCTGGGTCCCCCCCCCCCCCAGCCGACGCCCCTCGCCATCTCGCCGGCGACGTGAGTGGGCGGGGGAAGGGGTGGATCCCCTGGAGGAGTCTTAGGGCCTGGCGGCGCGGCGGCGCGGGGCTCGCCCTGCCGGGCCCTGCTGGGTGTGCTCGGGGTCCGAGGAGGAAGGCCCATTACAAAGGGATTTGTGGCCGCCCGAAATGGCTCTTCTTTATCTTCACTAATTTTACTGTCTGCGGCGATATTCTGCCCGCAGGAGTCAAGGTTGCGGTCACGACCAAATAAATATGTTTCTCGCCTCTCCCTCTTTTTCTGGTGTACTACCGAGAGGGGCTGCTGCTGCTGCTTGCTGCCGGGCGATTCCACATCACACCCGACCACCGGATGCCAGTGTTATGCCAGTGCAGTGGCGCGAACGGAAAACGATCGGGAAACCGGATCGGCCTGTGTGTGTGTGTGTGTGTGTGTGTGTGTGTGTGTGTGTGTACGCGCTGTGCGGGCGATACACGCACTTTTCCAAGACCGACCCACAACAGAGGCAGGTTCGGCGGATTGAAAACGAGGCGAGCTCGGCAAGAATCGATAATGATAATAATGATAATCACCGGTCCGATAAAGTTGGTCCGCGAAAGTCTGCTCCGGCCGCAGCGCCGTGCCGAAGATAGAATAAAGCCCGACCCTCGCGGCCGCGAGGCGACGCGAGGCGGGGACGGGGATGGGAGTTGCGAGGAGTTTCTCGGCATCCCGCGAAGCCTCGCTCTGTCTCTGTCGCACCTGCAGGGGTACGGCACACTGCAGCCGTTGGTGCGAGGGAGACAGAGCGAGCCTGGGCAGGCCGAAGGCCAGGGACGGGGTACCTCTCACTCACTGCCGCCCTCCGTGGAGTCCCTCATGCAGTCCCTCTCGTGCGGTGGAAATTATGCACAAGCAGGTCGAGCAAGCCGAGAGGCAGGCCGAGCCGACACTATCAATACGTAACGATATTTGCGTGCGCCGTGCTCTGCGCCGCGGACAAGTTTCACCCCCAGGCCATCATCCGTCTCTCTCGCCCAAACGGCCACGACGCGCCGCACCGTGTGAGAGTGACAGGGACAGAACGCGCCTGCAGTGCGCGTGCAATGCGCCCTACACTGTTTTTTGTTTATTACTATGAGGCAGACCAAAAGCCGTACACGGCAAACAAAAAACCGTATGCGGCAAATCAAAAACCGTATGAGGCAGACCAAAAGCCGTATACGGCAAACAAAAAACCGCATGCGGCAAATCAAAAACCGTATGAGGCAGACCAAAGCCGTATACGGCAAACAAAAACCGTATGCGGCAAATCAAAAACCGTATGAGGCAGACCAAAAGCCGTATACGGCAAACAAAAAACCGTATGCGGCAAATCAAAAACCGTATGAGGCAGACCAAAAGCCGTATACGGCAAACAAAAAACGCTATGCGGCAAATCAAAAACCGTATGAGGCAGACCAAAAGCCGTATACGGCAAACAAAAAACCGTATGCGGCAAATCAAAAACCGTATGAGGCAGACCAAAAGCCGTATACGGCAAACAAAAAACCGTATGCGGCAAATCAAAAACCGTATGAGGCAGACCAAAAGCCGTATACGGCAAACAAAAAACCGTATGCGGCAAATCAAAAACCGTATGAGGCAGACCAAAAGCCGTATACGGCAAACAAAAAACCGTATGCGGCAAATCAAAAACCGTATGAGGCAGACCAAAAGCCGTATACGGCAAACAAAAAACCGTATGCGGCAAATCAAAAACCGTATGAGGCAGACCAAAAGCCGTATACGGCAAACAAAAAACCGTATGCGGCAAATCAAAAACCGTATGAGGCAGACCAAAAGCCGTATACGGCAAACAAAAAACCGTATGCGGCAAATCAAAAACCGTATGAGGCAGACCAAAAGCCGTATACGGCAAACAAAAAACCGTATGCGGCAAATCAAAAACCGTATGAGGCAGACCAAAAGCCGTATACGGCAAACAAAAAACCGTATGCGGCAAATCAAAAACCGTATGAGGCAGACCAAAAGCCGTATACGGCAAACAAAAAACCGTATGCGGCAAATCAAAAACCGTATGAGGAGCTCCTTTTTCTGCGTGACGTTTGGTTGTTTTTTTTTTTTTTTTTTTTAACCGATTCCCCCGGGGCTAAACGCGAGTTTCCGGCGAGGTTCAAATCAACCGCACGGGGAGCTCGGCACGCACGCAGCCCGGTAAAACGAAAACAAAAATCTTTTTGTTTCCCATGCCTTATTTTCTATATGTGCGACAGTGCGGACTGTTACAGTTGCGAGTTGAGGTGACGCAATTAAAATGTAAACATTTTATTTCCGCTGCACTGGAAAAACGTTTTGATCTTTTTTTTGCTCCCTTACCCCTCGACAGCCTACACGCGCGCGCGCGCGCGCACGCACACACACACACACACACACACAACACACACACGCTTTCTGCGGCCAACTTCGCCCTTGGCCTGCATCCACATTTTAACACCTGCTCCCAGAGACACACCATACCGCTGGCACGTGACCGCCACACACACACACACACACACACACACGCACACAGGCCGAGTTTCACCGCCACCTGTCAGACCTTTGTCCCAGCGAGGTAGGTATGTGTGCCCGCTGCGCTGCCGCTCCGCCCCGCTCCCTGCGTTCGGCCGAGCCACGCCTGGGCTGTGCCTGGGCTGCGCCTGGGCTGTGCCCGGGCCACGCCTGGCATAATTATTATTACAAGGGGCACAAGTTACGCCGGGCAGGTTGGCACTACTGGCCGACCCCACTAGCCTTGAGCGAGGTTGGCAACACTGTGACGACGACTGCGAATAGCGTGGCCGACTTTGTCGGAAAAATAGGAGAAATGAGTAGTGCATGGTGAGCCATGACTACTGGGCCGCGGCGACAGGGGAGGGGGGGGGGAGCTCTGCTCGAATCCGCCGGCCGAAATAGGAGTCCCCTGCGACGCAGGGACGGCCGGCCCGTCCTTCGCCGCACTAAACCCTTTCCCAGGGGCTCTCTTGACGCGCTGCCCGGCAGCCCCCCCCCCCCGCCCCTTTCCCCCCCGTGCAACCCACACCCCTGAAATTGTATGAAAACAGATTACGCCACAACTGTCTCGTTTGGTTTGGTCGGCCGCTCCCAGGGCGGCAGCCTCGGCGCAGCGGATCCGTGACGCCCACCAGACAAAGGGGACGAGCGGACGGACGAACGGACGGACAGACGAACGGACAGACGGACCGGCAGACGGACGGACGGACGGGCGGCCCGTGCGTAATTAAATGCAAGATTTATTTGCTGATTGATCGCTGGCCCGCGTTGATTGGTTCTGGCTCGTTAGGGCTGTGTACGCTTCTGCCTGTGTGTGTGTGTGTGTGTGTGTGTGTGTGTGTGTGTGTGTGTGCGGGCGAGTGAGTGCGTGAGTGCGCAGGTCGCGCCGCGCCCCTTCACGCGAGAAGCGTTATCATTCTGTCAAGGTTGATCACCCTCTCCGCCCCCCACACCCCATCGGGGACCATTGGCCATTCAGTCCAGCAGCGGCCAGCTCGGCCTTTCCGAAAAGATCTCTCTCTCTCTCTCTCCCACTCGTGCGGCGCCCCGTCGCCCCTAGGGGGGTGCGAGCGAGACGGCAACACTGGTTATGTCCGGGGGCGACCCGCAGGCGCTCCGCGAAAATGCGGCTGCGCGATTGGCTGGCGGGCGACAGAGCCGACAGACACGGGCCGGGGGGGCCGTGAGGTGTCCTGCCGGCGTCCTGCGTTCGATTGCCGTCGACAATTGGCTTCGACACAAAGGCCCACGTGTGTGTGTGTGTGTGGGGTGTGTGTGTGTGTGTGTGTGTGTGTGTGTGTGTGTGTGTGTGTGTGCGTGTGTGTGTGTCCGGCAGGCCTTTTTAAACCGGCCGCGCACACAAAGACCCTCCCCCGCGCCTTTGTGTTATCTCCCTGTTTCCTTTCCAAATGCAGGCCGCGCGGCGAGGAAAAGACATCAGCAGCAACACACCAGCCAGCACACTGCAATCGACCTGACTGCGGGGCCAATCAGGAGGGAGGGCGAAAAATTGGGTTCGCTGTTCTGGCGAGAGCGCTGGCGGAACTCGAAGAACGGGAGTCATGTGGCCACGCGTCTATTCCGTGTATATTGAGAACGCGGCTGCGAATGGTCACAGCATACGGTCTCTCTCTCTCTCTCTCTCTCTCTCTCTCTCTCTCTCTCTCACTCACACACACACACACGCACGCACACTGGGACGCGCTATTTTGGGACGCCACTGGCCGCGACTCCCTGGCCGGAGTGTCGCAGGCCTGTCGGGCCGGTGCGATTTATCCCCGGGCCGTCCACTATACAGCGCGACCGGCAGCGCCACCGGCACCGCCACGGCACCGCCATCGCAGTGCAGTTCGGCCGGTCCGAAGGCCGGTCGGCCCACCGAAGGGACGCGCACCGTTTTTGCCGCTAACTGTGCACGTAAACAGGTGGGTCGGACACGTGGGGGGGGGTCTCTCTCGCACTCACGGGCCGCAGGGCCGCAAGGGGTGCGAGAGAGACAGACCGAGGCAGACAGGCCGCGTGTTATTCGACAGCGCGCCTGGATCGTAAATTTCGGGAAGTCCGTACGGAGCCGCCTTGCCTTGCCTCCCCGCCCCGCCCCGCCCCGCCCCGCGACATGGGATCAAGGCAGCAGGCGGGCCCGCGCGGGGGAGCCACACCCAAAGTAGAACGATATAACAGCCATCACACAGCGCAGCGCGCAGCCCCGCGCAGCCGAACAGACAAAACTCAAGCCGGGCTACGTGAGCGGGGATCGAAAGCCGTCAGTGCCACGCCACTGCCACGCCAGTGCTGCCAACCCCGCGCCAAAACAAATCGACTCGCCGAACGGCCGCATCCGGGCTAGGCAACCGCGCGACGGGCACGCCGTGTCAGACGAGCGTCGCGACACACGCGCCGCGTTACGTGATAAGTGGACGGGCAGGACTTTGCCGACGACGTGACAAATGGTGCGCGGAGGCGTCGCTACACCGGAATCAATTAATAACGCCGGAAGTGGATCCTGCCGTCTCTCTCGCACTCACGGCGCGGGGCGGCGGCGCGAGAGGGACGGCGCGGCGCGCGGCCGCGGCCTGCGGGGGCGACGGCGGATCCGGGGGAGGATCCAGGGAGGATCCAGGGAGGGGGCGTCGAGTCGAGTGGCGCGGCAGCGGACTAATTCCGGGAGTCGCTTTCGTCGCGCTGTCTCTCTCGCACCTGTGCGGCCCGCGCCACGAGTGCGACAGAGACAGCGCGACGAGAGCGAGTCTCGGACTCGGCCTGCAGGCGTGACAATTAGTGCGGGGCTCCAGGCGATAATATTAGTCGTCAGAGTGACAGCGGCTCGACGGGGGTCTCGGTGCGGCGCAGGGCGTGCCTCTCGGCGCTCTCGGCCTCCTCGGCGCGCTGCAGCACCATAAACCATGCCGAGGTATTAAGCGGGGACGCCGTCGTGGCCGCCGAGGCCGCCGTCAACGACCGCGGCGCAAACTGGTGGCGGCGCGCGGCGCGGTAGCCCGCGTCGACGGCGAGCTCGAGGAGTGGCCAACTTTGGGGGTGGCCGGCCGCCACCCCCACAAAGACGCGTGTGGAATCCGGTGAAAGTTTTCTTTTTTCGTTAAATTTGTTTCATTATGGGCGTTGTCGGCGCCAACTTTCCCGCATCGGACGGATAAATGGCCCGACGAAACAACGGGGTGCTTGTGCTGCCCCGCGAGCGCGCGCGCCCCGTCGGCGTGCCGTCGGCGCGCCGTCGGCGTGCAGCAGGCGGACTGGGTAATTTGCGAGTGCTGCCCGGCCAGGCCCGGCCATGGCCCGCCGGCCGGCAGACAGTGCCGTCCCCCGCGTCGGAATGCGGCCCAGGCCTTCCCCTCCGCCACCCCTGGCCCTCCGGAAAGACATTTTCGCATTAGGTTCCGTTTCAAATTCCGCCCGAGGAGCGGCGGGCAGTCTCGGCGAGACGCGCAAAAGTGGACTAACTGGAGCACAGTGCTCTTCTCGTCTCCTCGGACTCGTCAGGAATCGAGTTAGGCCGAGCTGGAGCAGCCCTCTGAGCCAGGGGCTCTGTCTCTCTCGCACCCCGACGCGAGTGAGAGAGAGACAGCGCTGCTGCGTACAGTGCAGCAGGACCCGCCGTTGCCCGGCGCTGCCCTTTACAACGAGCTGCTAGGCCTTCGGGCTTTTGCAGTGCAGTGCTGCGCAGAGCCCACAGCGCGAATCCACCGAGCCCGCCGACAGGCAGACACACGCTGTGTTCAAACACTGCTCACAAAGTCTTTTTTTACTCGGACAGGCCGTTCCATCTCTTTTTTTTTAAAAAAAAGTACTCTCTGGTTAAATACTGAGAGGATGGTAAACTTCCCATACCGGGAACTGAAGCACTCCCGTCCGATTTTTCCGAGGGTTTTCCTCTGTTTTTTTTTTCGTGAGTTGGCCAATCTGTCTACAGCATTACAGCGCGGCGCACCCGCCGGCAGGTCTTCTCTCTCTCTCTCTCTCTCTCTCTCTCTCTCTCTCTCTCTCTCTCTCTCTCTCTCTCTCTCTCTCTCTCTGTTCCTTTTCTGGAGCCTTACCGGAGTACACGAGAATCCTCTTCCTCTTGGTGTAGTTGGCGTCGGGCAGCCGCAGCTCGCACTCCAGCACCGTGGGGTTGTCGATCTCGCTCTCGGGCATGAGCGTCCAGGCCGTGATGTCGTACACGCCCTGCCGGTTCACCGTGTTCACCGTGACGCCGGGCAGCCCGCTGGACCTGCCGCCAAACAACACACGGTGGCTTGATAAAAACGCAACGTCGCCAACACCGAAAAAAAAGGGAGGAAGAAGTTATGCACCGCTCGGGCACCGCCGCCGCCGGGCTGACCCCAATCTCATGCATAAAAAATCGCGCTTTTGATTGGAGCGGGTTATTTTATTTCCCCGCAAACAACAACAACAACATGAACGAGGAGGAAAACGGTGGCAGCGGCTGCATCGCAGTGCAGCGGCTGCCCGATGGAGCCCCACTTCACTCCGAGTGACTGGGCCATTACTCTAGTCGATCGCAGCCCCCCTCCTCCCCCCCTCCCCCCTCTCTCTCCCTCTCTCTCTTGCTCTCCCTCCCCCAGGCCCTACACCTGTTCCGAAGCCATCCCATTAGGCCTGCTGCTGGGCGTGGTCTCGTCCGCTTCATGACGTCACCCAGCATCTCTCTCTCTCATTGCGAGTTGCTTGGCAGCCGAGTGGACTGCTCTGAGCAAGAAGCGTTTACTGGACCAAACGACAACAACAAAAGGAGCGACAAGCAAACAGCTCGCTGCCGAGAAAAGCGTCGTTCGCCTCGCTGACGACGGCGAAACCCGTCGCACAGTATTTTTAAGCTGCTTCTGTGCGCGCTCCGAGCCACCACAACGTTCTCGTGTATACTCACTTGCCCGTCGGGCCGGGGTCCCGGTACAGGTTCATGCGCGGCTCCGGGAAGACGCCGTGCGCCCGGCACGTCACGTTCACGTGGTCCGGGGGGTTGGTCTTGCTCTTGATCACCTCGAAGCCCTTCTCCGGAACTGCGGACACAGGAAACGGCAACAGTCAGCAACAAAAATAACAAAAAAGTTGTTTTTTTTTTCGTTGTCGGACTCATTTTTTTTTCTCTCATGTAATTGTCCGGCGAGGAGACTACGCGCGTGTGTTTGGAACGCTAAACACGCGGGCCGGCGGTGGCGTTGCGTTGGATCGCTTGTTACCGACACTGGCTGGCTGGCTGGCCAGGGAGGAGTAAGGCGGGCTTCAAACGGACCGGCCCTATTAGCTGGCCGATTATGCGGCCAGAGTCCGTCTGTTGCTGAGTTGAGGTTTGGCTTTGCGATTGGCGGGTGGGGCGGGGCGGGGCGGGGCGGGGGGGGTGGGGCGGGCGACGGGGTATTAATCGAGCACATTGATAGGTGGGAGCCGGCTGAGGCGGACTTCGCTGTAAAACTGAAGTCACCCCAGAAGAGGCGTTTGATTCCCTCATCCAAGACTCCGTTGCGCGGTGGATGGCTTGGTGGATGGTTGGTCGGGAACGGCTGCGATATTTCCCGCTTCCCCCGCCGGGTTTGGCAGTGTAGTCGGATGGGCGTCCGGGGATCCGGGCCGACCGCATTGCAGGCTCGCCGTGGCTCGCCGGCAACACTTGAAACTTGGCTTGGCTCTGCCGAATCGGCCGGAACAACCCAGACAAATACGCGGAGCGGGATTGGCGGGCCGGCCGGCCGGTGAAACCAAACCGGTGAAACCGGTGAAACCCCGCAAAGTGCGGCCGAGCTCCAAGCCCGAGGGAGGGACCGAACGGGGGGGACCAACGGCCAATTGAAACGTCTCTCCTCCTAGCTTCGACGATCCGGCAGCACTTATTTTCCCCCGGCATCTGAATTATCGGGGCATCCGTCTCCCGAGCCAGGCCCACCCCGCCCCGCCCCGCCCCGCCCCGCCCCGCCCCGCCCCGCCCGCCGCCCCGCCGCGACCGGCTCAAAGGGACGAGCCGAGGAAACAAATTTACTCCCTGCAGCCATTCGGTAACCACTTTATCCTGCAAGCAGCGCTGCTGCCTGGTTCCATTTCCTGGCAGACACGCACTCACGCAGACACGCAGACACCTAGACACGAAGATCCCCCCCTCTCACTGACACACACACGCACACGGGCAGACAGACACACACAGCCTGCACACACGCAGGCCGTGCCTCAGACAATCAGGGAAGGGAGCTTGACTTGACTCTCGTCGTGCAGGGGGGGCTAGAGACGGGAAACGGATAAACGAGAAGAACAGAAGACAAGGAGCGGCAGGGCGAGGGATGAGCGATAAGCAGTGTTTGGGGCGGGAAGACAGAAGTCGGGGAGGGAGAGGGGGGGCTACGTCAGCAGAAAAGGGCAAGCGCTTCAAATTTTGACCCTCGCAACAAGACTATTTATTACTCATAGGTTCAATTGCAATTTTTTTAGGCAATCTTTCTCTCTTCCTTTTTGGCGTTCACCCAAAATCAAATTTCATTTTTTTTTAAATTAAAAAAAATTCTGGAATGTGTATTGTGCTACAAAAAAAGGGCGCGGATTTTCAAATTCTCTGATGCGTTTGTACTTTTGTTCTGTTCCCATGAGCCGAGATACCTGAGGAGCCCTTTTCCTTTGGGCCCTTTTGGCCCTTTTGGCAGAGCTGCGCTCCCTTTGAGTCCTACACCCCGCGAGGCGAGGGCAGGCCGGGCCGGCCGGGCCAGGCCGTACGCTCGCTTCTTTATCGAGAGGATCCGGTTGGATCCCCTTCCTGGCAGCATGCCGCCCGGGTGCCCGTGGTGCCCGTGGTGCCCGTGGTGCCCGTGGTGCCCGTGGTGCCCGTGGTGCCCGTGGTGCCCGCTGTGAACGAGTAATACCGAACGAGTATTGACTGAGAAATTTGAAAGGGAAAAGAAAAAAATTTGAACTCTACACCCCCTCCCCAGTCTTAATGGGGAGGCCTCCTGCTTTACTTCGGTGTTCGGGATGGGAACCGGTGCTATCAGGTACCTGGGGTTAATCCCGTCAGCGACCCAAACGTTCGCCGGGGGACCCAGTAGGACCCCAAAGCTCAGGCAGCTGGGTGAGAGCACCCAGTACGAAGCTCTTAGAGGGGCGGGACGTAGAGTGAGACGACAGAGAGACAGAGAGAGACTCAGACAGAGAAGAGGTTTGGTGGGAGCTTCTTGTTTTCGTAGGGTTGGTTGTGTACCCCATGGTACCCCCACTGTCCGGCGCTCCCGTACCGAACATACAGCGTTTTAGGCCAGCTTCAAAGGACTTATCATCGCCTCCCCGACGAGTCAAGGAGGCACCACCCGCAACCACACACCGGATGGTCTGGATTGATGGATCAAATACTCCATCGCTCCAGTGCCGAGGCCAACCCGCCGAAGCGGATTGCTTTTTAGACACCCACAGCGGAGTGGCCAGGTGAATGTGACTCTGACCACTACGCTATCACGCTTGTACGTCTGGTGGCGTGTTGGACGACGGGTTTGAGTTGCAGTGGGAGGAAGGCAGTCGAAAAATGTAATGAAATGAAGGGATTCGATCCCCGGACCCCGCCATCGGGATCACACGACTTTACGCTCTCGGCCACCACGGCCCATGATGAGGGGACCGGCGTGAGGTGGGTTCTTGACGCAACAGGACTCGACCGACCCGGTCAAAATTTCGCAAGAAGTTGGGGGAGTCGAACCGCCGACCCTAGCATTGGGAATCGACGCCTCTACTCCCTGGACCACCACGTCCCATGCACGGAGTGGGCTCACGTTCACGGGTTTCAACCGCACTGGGTGAGGCAGTAAAATTAAATGGAAATATTTGTTAGGAGTCGAACCTCCGGCATGTGGGTCTGTTGCACACGGCTCCGCTCGGATGGCCTCGAACCACCACCCTTAGGATAGTAAGTCGAAAAAACGTATGTGACGCTGGTATTCGAACGCCCGCCTGCGGTATCTCGATCCCACGTCTCTATCCTCTCGGCTATCACAGCAGTTGTGAAACGCGACGGATCATCTGCTTTCATTAACGTTCGTTGAATGAGATTTTTTTTTTCAAATGTGTGTCATGAAGTTGGAATGTGCTGTGAGGCTACTGTCGCGGATGCAAACCACAGCAATAGGCAAGGGTCGCGCGGACCAGAAAAAAAATTTCATCGTACAATTTCAATCGGGCCGAACAATAATACACACAAAGCTATCGCGGACCTGCCGCTGCCCCAGGTTCCATCTGCGGACCGAACAACTCGTTCTCAAAGTGCTGCGGGCCCCGCCCCGCCCCGCCCCGCCCCGCCGCGGGCGGCCACAAGTGGCGCCGATTCCAATTTGCACTCGAGGGCCCCGGGGCGGCGGCAGGCGGCCAGGACCACGAGGAGGTAGACGAGGTACCGCGTGGCGCGGCGTGCCACGGCGTGGCGTGCGGGTCATTCCCTCGGATCAAGAGGGTGGAAAAAGAGGTCCCCCTCGGAGGCGGCAGTGTGTGCGAACTCGATAAAGGCATCTCGCGCGCCGTGTTCGCGTCCCCGACAACGTCGTCTGTGTGTGTGTGTGTGTGTGTGTGTGTGTGTGCGCGCGCGCGTGTGTGCGGGACCATTCTTTCCCCCCTGCTTTCTTCTCTCGCCTCTCATTTCGGGATTTTTAATCATTTTCTCTCTTTTTCGGCAGATGGGAGCCGATTTCCTGGGCCACCCACTTCCTCCTCGCCTCCGATGGAGCGACCGAGCGACCCACTTGGACCGGTACAGTCACTGCCTTCTGTTAAGAATGCCGCCGCCACCCGCTTTGTTCAGTCTCTCTCTCTCTCTCTCTCTCTCTCTCTCTCTCTCTCTCTCTCTCTCTCTCTCTCTCTCTCTCTCTCTCTCTCTCTCTCTCTCTCTCTCTCCACCCCCGCCGCCGTGGTCTCTGCAACGCCCCCGCTAAATTGGCACCCTGCAGGGTCGCGCTGCCCGGCCCTGCCCTAATGGAATGTAGCCAAGGAGATGCTATGCTTTCAGAGGCAGCAGGGCTCACTCCGAGCGGCGCCCCGTCGCTCCGTCTCTCTCGCACCCTCGCGGCACGCCCGGCACCCACTGTGCGCGGGAGAGAGACGGCGCGTCGCGCGGACTCGGCCTGCAGGCGAAACCAAAATGGGGTAACGAACAGAGCGCGGCGCGCGGCGCGGCGGCGCTCTGCAGCGGACCCTTTTAGGGCCAGCCGGGGCAGCCGGGCACCCGGGCAGCCGGGCACCCACCCCGCCAAAGTGGCCGACATAATGAGATTCTCCGCGATCCGGTCAGTCAGAGAACGCGCGCTCACAATCAGCTAGGGCCACCGGGGCCACCAGGGCCACCGGGGCCACCAGGCAGTGTACGCCGCCGGCCGTTAGTCCATCGGGGACAGGTGTGCAGTGGGGTGACTTGGCCTCAAACAGTCGGTCATCAGGGACTGTCCGGGACGCCTCCGCGCGCCACTTGCAAAGCCCCGCCGTGTCTGTCTGTCCGTCCGTCCGGCCGGCCGGCCGGCAGCCAGCTGCTGCCCTGCTCCTGACGGAGTGCTGTCGTTAGTCCGTGTGCTCGACTCCGGGGCGGACAGATCGACGCTGAGAGAGCGAGAGAGAGGGACAGACAGAGAGAGTGCGGTCAACGGCGCGTCATAAACAGTGGAGCACCTCGTGTAGTGCGTGGAGATGGCGGTGCGCGCGGCGCGTCGAGGCGCCAAATGGCGGCCGAATGGCCTTCCCGACGCCTTGTTCGCCGAGGTGCCCGTCGAGGCCACGGCCGCGCCTCGCGCTGATTGGTTCGCCCGGGCCGCGTATTGAACGCGCGTTAGTGATTCAAACACGGGGCCTGCTCGGGGAATGAAGGGGGAGGGGAGGGGGGATTGGCGGGCGGCAAGTTTGCTGCGGGGAATCAAAGCCTGATCCGGGCGGCACACGGCCCGCCCCGCGAGTCAGGTGGTTACCACACGCGGTACGCCGCGGCACAGCGCGCCCCCTGGTGGCAGCGGCCGCGGCACGCCAACAAGACCCTGCGCCGCCCTGCGCTAAGCCGGGG